CCATTGCTCTGCCCAAACAGAGCTCTCCCGTTGTCCTTATTCTCGGCTTCTCGCTTTAATTCCTGGAACGTCATCTTCTTTCCTTGTTTAAGGTCGTCGGTTAGCTGTATCAATCTTCTTCCTAGTCCTTTCTTTCCTTCAACCTGGCCTTCGGTGATATCACTCAGTAATCCATTTCTTCTCATAATATGTCCCAGCCAGTTAGCTTTCCTTCGTGTAATCGCCTGCAGAATGTTTCTTTGCTCGTTGACTCTCCTCAATACTTCTTCGTTGGTCACTCGATTCGTCCACCTGATCTTCTCTATTCTTCTCCAACACCACATTTCGAAACTCTCCAGGTATTTCTGTTCCTTCTTCCTGAGTGTCCAAGTCTCTGCTCCATACAGCGCGACACTCCATACGTAACACTTCACTAGTTTCTTCTTCATCTCCAAGCCCAACTTGCTAGTGAGAAGTATCCTCTTCTTGACGAAAGCTGCCTTGGCCATGGCTATCCTTGCTTTTACTTCCTTGGTGCATAGGGCGTCCGTCGTGACTCGTGGAGTACTTGAAATGCTCCACATTCTCCATCTGTTGGTTTCCAATTACAACGTTCAATGGTTCTGCTCTCGGTGCTATCCTCATTAAAGGTAACCCATTATATACAATAGATAAACTATGACTTACTTGTAAACATTAGAAATTCATCGACAGAGTAAAAGGAGTGTGTAATTAAGTATCTTTTTAAGACTGGTTTAAATTGTGCCTTTTTATTTACAAGACTTGTGAGATTTGATGGAAGACTGTTGAAAATTTTGATCCCTGCATAATATGCACTCTTCTGAAAATATGAGAGGTTGGCAACTGGTCTATGAAGCTGATTTTTATTCCTTGTGTTGATACTGTGTATAGCAGAATTAGTTTGAAAATGTTCTTGGTTATTTACAATAAAGTTCATGAATGAGAATATGTATTCACATGGAAGAGCTGAGATTTCTAATCTCTTAAACAGACTTCTACATGAATTCATATGTTTGACACCAGCCATTAATCTAACAATTTTCTTTTGTAAAGTGAATATCTTTTTGATGTTTGATGAATTTCCTCCTTGGAATACCTCAGTTGGCATGGGATTTCTTTAATGTAGTCAAAAAGATATCACCCACGCATTAGCCAGTATTTGCCAAAGAGTTATCATTTGAGCATGTCAGTCATGCATTGTTTAATCCCTGGTTATACTATAAAGTTCATAATTTATATCTAAGACTGCTCTTCCACTATTACAACTGGTGCATGAAAATGACCTCATCAATGTGCAGCTACTGATTTGTGGATGCACCCAATGTACCCTTTTCTTATGGTTGATGAACCACCAAGGTGTGATAGACTAATCAAGAAAGACAGAGAGAATTGTTATGTGTCCAAGCTCAGTGGATATATTAAATGTTGAAAGAAAATTCTGAGTACAGTTCACTACCGGGAACTGTTCACTTTCCTCTTCTACTTCCCCACCATTTGAAATCAGGTTTCCTTGGTGATGTAGCTACCAGATTGTACATATAGAATGTGAACAGAAACATGATGGACAATAAACAAAGGATTAAGTAAGTAACATTCACAGGATTTGTCTGTTGAATGATTAGTGCATGAATTAGAAATAATGTGGAAGGTACTGGTTGTCACACAGGATACTCCCTGCATTTGCATGGAGAAATTGAGGAAAATCACAAAACCCTCAGTGGGATAGACAATGTCTGGTGGAAACTTGAACCTCCCAAACATGAAACAGGAGTGCTTTAGACTCAACCACTACAATCTATTAAAGTTATGTTCCTAAAGCTTTATTATGAATGTAGTTAAATCTTTTGTGTATTCTATTGTTGGTGTGTGTTTCTGTAACTAATGTATTTCTGGGCATTTTCTGAATGTGAAAATATTTACTGACTTGTACCACATTGTGTTTAATAGGAAGCATGTATACCTGTCTGTTTTGTCTTTACAATACTCAGTCTACAAAGAGGGAAAAACACACTCGCAGTTTTAGTTTTTTGCATCCTTACAATCACAGAATTAATCATCAATATTAATTGAATATTACCATCAATTAAAGTGTCTACAAGTTGCTTATGTGATCCCCCGTAAAACGGCTCGAGTAAGAGGACAGTTTCTTCTTTCATACTGTCATTGTCCATTCGATTTTCATTCATATTTTCGTGATCTACGCTGACGTGAAGGGTGAAACTACACCATTCAATGTTTCCTATCACGTACAGGACGATCAGCTGACTTCTGTAGTTTTGATTAATATGGGTAGATGGAGGAACACATTTTCGCAATATGGAGCATGATCGAGGATTTCCGAACAAAACCGAGCGGTATAGATGCGAATAGAAAGTTAGTGAGTCAGGTGTGTGTGAGAAATGATGTGTCTTGCAATATGAGTTATATTTTTCTGTAAACTTGCCAGAGTATGTTGATTGTCATTGCTTCCGAACTACGCGGTGTTTATTGAAGTTTGTGTCTTATAAAGGTATTTGCGTTCCATGATGTGCGACTGCATGGTCTATATCTCTAGATTTTGTGATTGCGACAGACAAAAATAAAAAATAAGAAACAGTTGTAGGTTATCTTTCAGTTATATCACATATGAACTACGTTATATACGTTTACAAGATATCTTTAATATATTGGACCATCCAGTGTTTTTCTCTGTGCGAACTGTACTTTCGCATTGTTGACCTACAAGGTTAACTTACTGCTATTTATAGAGGAAAAGTGACAAATGAATTTTACAGGCAGTGAGAGACCATTCAACATATTTTGTATTATTTTTTCGTTTAGCTTCCAACTGTAATGACTTATGTGGTTTTTTGCATTAATATAATTGTAACATTTCTTTGCATATTTATAGGTGCATGTGCAAAGTGTTTGCTATAGATATACCATGTCTTTGAAGCCAAGGAGAGTAGATTTTAATGAGAAGTGGGTTGGACTTCAAGAAACTGTAAAAGGAGTTATAACACTTGGAAATGTTCCTAGAGAAACATGGAATGCATGCTTCAGGTAAGCACAACTTTAAGAGGTAATGAGGTTAAAATTGCTTGGTATTTGATGTTCTTCAGATTGTTATTTTTCCTTTCAGTGATGTGTACATCTTGTGTGTTGCATATCCGGAACCATATGCAGATAAACTGTATCTGGAAACAAAATACTTTCTTGATAACCATGTGAAAGCTCTCCTTGAGAAAGTCCGAGCAAATGGAGAAGCAAATCTTCTCAAATGTTACCATAAAGCATGGGTTGAATACAGTACAGGAATTGGGTATCTGCATCGTCTTTACCTGTAAGTATGTTTGTTAAGATTTTAATAATATTTGTTGGAATTAATAGTGAAGTTTGCAATGTATTATAAAGTAAGAAAGAAGTGTTTGTAAAGTTGCAGGAAAGTTTTCTAAGAAAAATATGAAGTTTTGTCATGGCATATGCATTGATCAAGCATTCTTAATTTTCATTCTGTGTTTTGTATGTGTGTGTGTGTGAGTGTGGAGGGAATGTTATAATCACTGGGAAACACTTATGTCAGTAGATACATCTCAGATTTATAGTGTATTTATGGAACAATAGTTTACAAATCCTAGTCAAAGAGTATGCACATAGTACTCTTAAAGAGTGAATGTCAATATAAAAGGAAGTCTTTTTCAATATGTTTTATTTATTTCCTTTTTTTCTTATAAGAAATGAAAGTGTAATACATTCTAACCAAAGAGGAAGGAAAAAAGTGTTAAGCAATATTATTCCCATGTTATCTTCTTGCGAAGGTAATAATGTCAAATTTATTATAGTTATATTTCTGATTGTATAGAAGTAAGTTTTGATATGTAAAAAGAGAAGCAACACTAACGTCCTTTGCTTTAAGCCCCAGAGCCGGTCTGGATGCAGAGTGGATGATGAAAGTCTTGTGTTTGATTGCTAACTGTTGCTGTAAAGTTCAGCAGCATATCTATTTGAGGCCATACAGTTTTTTACATGAGCTCTTATCATGTTCACTATTTCATGTTGTGTTGGTTCTTCAGTAGGAGAGGAGTGATGGTATACTTTGTTATAACTGATGTGTGGGAGAACTGAAGCTGGCTGTTGGTCAGTAAGTCATGAGAATCTCAGATGAGTAGGTAATGCATTTATTTGTCAGTACTCAAAATGATGAAATACTACAAGGGTTTGAAATAGACTGTTAATTTATTTAACTACTAAATATAATAAAAAGTGTCTGTCATGCTTGACTGTATAAGTGCTCTGTTTGAGTGATGCATAAAAAAATTAAATTAAAGTCCTGATGGTGGTGTCTTTGGCAGCAAGAAATTCAGATGAGGTCGTGATCAGGTCTGACAGAGTGTGTTTGGTGGAAGTCTGGAGCCAGGTTATACATTTTGTGTTGGTGCATTTGACAGGCATCTGGCTTCAGTTGCCATGAAGATGTTTTCACATTTTTACTTTAATTTACTTTATATAATATGTTGCACTTTCAGTGCAGTTTGCAAAGATAATGTTGCAATAAACTGTATTACTGTTTAACATAGAAAATGTTCATACCTGTCAACTTTGATGGATCATACTTTGCTAGTTTATATAATAAGTTGCAAGATTTGTAACATCTGAATGATGCTTGGTGCTCCATGGGTGAGATGAAAAGTCTCTAATAGGAGGACTTTTATATTTTATTCTGGTACTTCATTACATCACAGGTATATTCTTGTATTTATGTAATTTTGCAGCAACAATTCTAGGATGTGTGTTAGTCCAAAAACAAAATTATTTTGGTGACAGGTGAGACTAGATTTCTGTTAGTTCAGACTTCAGAACTCTGACCTGTGTGCAATTTGGAACAGAAGATATATAGACTGTTCATCCCCTTACATGTTTCATCATAGAACAAAATAGTGCAAGCTGCTGATTAGGTGTTGAACCATAGTAACCAAGCAGGTTTTCAAATCTCACATTTAGGAGATACCAGTTCAAACCCTATCTGGGTGCTGTTAACTTTGACAAAGGCTTTTCATGCTTTTCCTCAATTCCTCTATGGAAATCCCAGGAAAATGCCTTATAACAACTGTTGACCACATTCTCTTACATCCCTCCAAAAACATCATTCACAGCTATATTTCCAAGTATACATTTATCATCAGAAATCCTCAACAGCTGATACAGGGTTGTAAAACAGCTGGGTAATCAATCAGCATTTTGTGTGGTTAATAAAGTAAAAATATTAAATTGAAATTAATTGACAGCACGTGGAACATTTTCAAAGGTATATATTTGAACCATATGTGATGTTCCAGATACTTGAATCAGCAGCACATTAAGAAGCAGAAACTGTCTGATGCAGAAATAATGTATGGCAGCATTGGACCTGATGTTCAGGAGCAGATGGAGATTGGAGAATTAGGTTTGTGAAGTGAACAATTTTATTTATCCTTGTTACAGTGGCACTAGGTTTGATTCCTGGCAGGAGCAATATTTTCACCTTTGCCACTACTTCCAATCCAGCCTCAGACATAAGGGATATTATCCCCAGATTTAACTACACCTGACTTTTTCTTGTGGGATTATTTGAAGGATGTGGTGTACAGCACAAAGCCAGCAACACTTCAAGAGCTCCAGCAAGAAATTGAATGGTCTTACTCAGCCATTCCAACAGCACCTTCAGTGCTCACTTCATCAGTCAGCTGCTCACCACTGTCAACTGTGCCAAGAAACTAGCAGCTGTCATTTTGAACACCTGCACTAGATTTACTAATTTACTAAGTGCCAATGCTGATGTATGTAATGGTTTAGTTTAATCACGTCTTTATTTCATTCTCTGTGTGTATACATCTTTTTGGGACATCTGTATATGCTTCATGCTGTGGTATTAGGCAAAAGAATGATTTTTACTTTGAAGATGGCTGTCATCTGGGTTGTTGTACTGTGTATTATGGTAGACATATATTGATGTTTCAGAAGTGCTTGCAGCCTCCATCATCAGAGTTATTCCCCATTTGCTTGCAAAAGATGAGTTATGGATTTTACAGATTTATCAAGGGTTAAAGTAATTTATGTGCTTAAATTTAGGTTTATTTTTTCCGGTAATGTGGTAATGTTAGGCGTACAGTTGTGTCTTACTCTGGGAACTGCTGACATTGCCATATTGTTATTCCCAATATAGGGTTAGACATCTGGAAGAGGAACATGGTGGAACCACTAAAGGAGAATTTAGTTAATTTACTCTTGGAAGGAATCCACTATGATCGTCTAGGTGAAGCAAGCCCCAATATTACTGATATTATTCGAGGAGTAATAAACTCATTTGTCAGTGTTGAGAAGTACAAAAGAAAAGGAAAGCTGGAGGTAAGTTTAGTTTTTGGTTACCATTTATGAAAGACAGGAGTCCTTTTTCAAATGCAGTCTATGGACATCACAAGACCTTATTTTACTAGGTCATCTTGAAAACAGAAAATTTTTGAGTTTACGACATGTCTGTAGCGTACTTCTTGTTTCATATACTTACCAAGTAGCTATTTATTTTGCTTACTTACTGTAATTAAGTGTAACCCTCATACAAGTTCTGTGCAAGAGTACAGAGCCAGTTATGTTCATGTTCCACACTATAGTGGACTGCATTAATGGTGAGTACCTGTATTTTTTTATAAAGAAACACTGGTATTCTCTATGACATGAAGGTAGCTTGAGAGCTGAAAGAGGCACTAAGATTATGTTATTCAGCAAAATAGTAAATTGTGTTTGCGTTGAGGTTCAGCATCCAATATTTACTCATGTTAATTAATTTGTGTTAATTTTTGTAGCTGTATGAGGAAATATTTGAGACACCTTTCCTTCAAGCAAGTGGCGAGTACTACAAGCGAGAAGCTAGTAAATTGCTACAGGAGTGTAATGTAAGTCAGTACATGGAGCGAGTTATCCAACGACTAGAAGAAGAGACGTTTCGGAGCAACAAATTCCTACATTTTAGGTATTGTGGTGTTGTCTGGAGTTTAAAATCTTCATTTTGTTTATAAAAGAAATACTGCTATTTAATGAATCTGAAGGTAATGCAAGAATGATAAATTGTGGGCCTGTTACATGATGGAGTGCAGTGAAGATAAGTACAAATTATGTATTTCCAGTGAATATTTATAATAATAATAATGATATTGTTATCATCATCGTTGTTGTTACTGTTTCTGTGTAGCTACTTTTATTGATGATGATATTTCCTTGCCACATTAGATTTTAATTATCAGTACCAGTTTAAAATAACTTTTAAAGGAAATAGAAATTTTGACACATTTATGTAATGAATAGTAGCTGTATATTGTCTGAGTAGATGATTGTAATCACCACTTCGTCAGGTTTCCTGACCAAGAAGGGTGCCATTCACAAATTACATCATTGTTTTTCTTTTGACAGATTCATTTTCACTGCTGTGCCCTTTGCAATATTTTGATTTTTTCTTTCAGATGAGTAAATGCACTTGACATTGTAATGCTAAATTTAATTATCATTTTCCTTTTAGTTCATTTGTTAAAGTAAAGGCTCGCTGTGAACAACATATGGTGGCAGATCATTTGGCTTTCCTACATGGTGAATGTAAGTCAATGGTGCAAGAGGAAAGATGCAAAGATCTGTCTAATATGTACACATTGCTACGATCAATGAGAGATGGCATTGGTGTACTGATAACAGAGCTGTCTGAACATATAAGGGCACAAGGACTTGAAACTGTAAGAGGTCTTAAAGGAGACAATGTAAGTTAAGAAGTAAATGCACTAACTAACAAACACCTTTGTAAATATGAGAATGTATTTTGTTGAGTTCTTCCATGGAACCAGTAAGATCAATTATTTTTATTGTATATCTTTCATATGTGAGACAGTTGTGAATGGTGGAAAGTTTTTAGTGGTATTTTTGTCATTTTCAGTAGTAATAACAAGTTTTGTTCTATATGGGGCACAGAATTTTTTTAGTATTATTTGAAGAGATACAACTGGTTACATATATGTAGACATTATGACACTGTAATGTTTATTTTTATACATTATCACCACCTCTGTTGAGGCACTTTTCCCAGCTGGAAACCAGTGCATTGAATCCCTTTGCAAAGAAATCCTGGTCGGACATCTGTAACCATGTCGTCATTCACAAACCACTGTCTTGATAAATGCTGTTGAGGGGGCCCAAAGATGTGATATGGAAAGAAGTCATCATGAATTAATTTGGTGTGGTGTTACACTTCAGGGAGAGTAACATTATATGTCTGGGAGCTAGACATTTACATTTTAGAACAGGCTGATATGTAGTGAAGTTTCTTAGTGTGTATAATTTGCGTGTTAGATGTTGATTTCATAATATTGTATTACTGTTTCTTCAGGTTCATATTCAGTTTGTTGAAAATATGTTGGCTGTTCATAAGAAGTATAGGGAATTAATTCAAGAAGTTTTTAATGGAGATCAGAGCTTCATAGGTGCACTTGACAAGGCTTGTACTTTTGTTGTTAATCATCGACCCAACCCCAAAATGGTCTGCAGGTCTCCTGAAATGGTGGGTATGGAAAATGATAAAAACAAATACTATCTTTGTAGTGTAGTATTTTCTGTTTTGGTGTGCTTTTTATGAATTTAAAAACTTTTTGTGAAATGCAATACAAATTGTTGAGAATAGTTTTTCATTTACTGTATCTCATTGAATAATTCATGCACATTACTTTTCAAAATATTTGTGACCACAAACGTGTGTGTGTGATTTATAAATATTATGTTCATATCTAGTATTTTTTGAGTTACAGGGTTTGAAAATAGTTATTATATTTTGTTAAAATAAATAAAGCTTGATAAGTTGATGGGTACTTTTGGCTTATTTTTCTTTCTTAAAGACAGCTTTATGAGACCACCATGCTGTCTGTATGTTTCCTTTAAACTTTTGAAGCCTGTTACCAGTTTTCACAAAATTTGGCATGAACGTTGTGCTGTTGGAGGCCACCCCTCAACCTTGTCCTTTTAAATTTCCTGTAAAGTCAATAAAGCCAGTAACAGTTGTAAAGAACTGGTATTCAGAAATTAGTAAATTGCAGTAAGTAGATGGTTGTGTAAACTTGTCAGGTGGGCATAAACAAGCACCTCAAAAATGAAGCTTCAGATGATGTTTGTTGTTCGTTGTTTATTGCACATTTTCGTACAAGAAATCAGACCACAGAGAGCTTGTGCATGAGTTTTATTTTCCATGTGTATTCCCATTAACCCAAGTTTTTTATCTCAAAGAATTCATTGCAAATGTGTAAAGTCTGGTGACTGATCTGAAACTGTGGATGTTTGTAGAGATTTTGTTTTAATTTTTCTTTACATTGGCAACTTTCTGTCACAGGGGATTCATCATTGATCTTGAACTACTAATAGTAGGGAAGTGAGATTTGAAGCATTGAAGCTGCAGATGTACTCGTGAATGTGTCTGCTTTAGATTTTGCATTGCATTTATGGAATGAAAATTCATACTAGGTTTAGAGTGGTGCTGTGCATTGAATAAATTGCATTAACTTTTTCTGCAAGTGTATGGACTCAAATTTAAGCCAGCTGAGGTACATTTTTTAATATCATTATCTCCATGCTTTGAGGAATGTAAGCCGCTCAAATTGCCCCTCTAAGACAAGTAGATAGCAATGTATGAAAAGTTGTATATAAATAAATGGTATAGTGATCACTGAATGAAATGTTTTGATGTGTAAAATAAAAGGATCTTGAAGTTTTTTGTAATTTATGTACATGTGCTTCTACAGCTTGCCAAATACTGCGATTCATTATTGAAGAAATCTTCTAAGGGTATATCTGAGAGTGAAATAGATGAAAAGCTAGCTCAAAGTATAACAATCTTCAAATACATTGATGATAAGGATGTATTCCAGAAGTTTTATGCCCGTATGTTGGCTAAGAGACTGATACACTCTCAGAGTCAATCCATGGATGCAGAGGAAGCCATGATAAATCGACTTAAGGTATGATCAATTAATAAAGTTTACACATTTCTCTTTGAATGAAGTAGCTTTATCAATTTTGGCTGTATTAATCTAAGGACTGTCTGCACACAAATGCATTCTCCATGTTCTCTTGTTTGTGTAAACTTTTGCAAATGTTTAAATTGTTTTCAGCTTTGGATATGCTTTGTTTCACCAGCCATGAATTCCTAGTAGCTTCATTTGTATCTGTTAAGATGATATTTAAATTTGCTCTTTGTAGAATTAAATGATGGATCACTACCAGACAGCGATTTTGATCTGGTTGAAAATAACTGGCAACAGTGAGAATCAGCAAGTAGTGATAACAGTATCACTGAGAATGTTTCAGTTATTATCAGAACACCTATTTACAAACCATATGCTAGTAACATGGGTTGTTTCAGTGATGGTGATTAGTTGATGATTGTGCAAATGTAAGTGGTACTAAATGTTTGCTGGATATTCCACTACACTTTATTCCTTAAATTTTTCAGGTATGTATGTACAATAACTTTGTCTGAAATTGTGCCTTGGCTTAACACGGATCAGACCTTCAATCTCTAACTTGTCTGATACCTGAAAGGCAAAACATCTGTTCTTACATATTGCTGGTATTATGCAGAATTAGTTTCTGCCTATCTGGACCACAGAAATCATTTACTCAAAGGGTGATGGGTAGGGCCTTTGTATGTGGTGGTCAGGTATTTTGCTATTTTAAGTGTTTTTATTACCAAATTCTATGCTGTGTACTGAGTTCTTCTATTCATCTGGTGTTAAACATGGTATTGCCACCACCTCTGCACTAACTCCTGAGGCACTATGCAGTCTTAGCAGGTATGCATTCAAACCATCCAGGCATTATTGAGATTCTAAATCAAGTTTCCCACCTTCACAAGGCAGGGAAATCCATTATATTTTGCTGGTTATCAGTCTGTGCAAGCTGGTGGCTGCTGAAGCAGTCACTTTGCATGGACTTATGGCATTTGGTTTAGCTCTTGGTAGTGATCTTCCTGCCTTTGTCCATTATGCTGTTTTATCCTAATGATGATGAGGTGAATGGACCAATATGCAGGGCAACAAATTGTGAGTGGTGAAACCATCTGTGCTAATATGACATTCTTTCTCCATTTTTATCAGGAAGTCATGTTGGCACACTTTCAGATTGCTCACATATGCCATTTGATGTGCAGTGCAGTGTCTTATGTCAAGTGTGGTATATCACTTAATATGCTACATATAAAGGTGGAATGTCCATGTTATGATGAAGGCTAGAGTTTTAAATTTCCAAATTTCTTTGGGCCAACCAAATATGTCCTTTTTTTATTAGTTTTAGGATATGCCTGTGTGTAAGAATGTCATTTTACAGCCACGTTCATTATCTGGCCCACTACAACCAGATATATTGTTTTACTTCTGATCTACCACGTTTATAATTTATAGCTTTATAGTTTTGACTTACTGTCAGGATTTGAAATTGACTGACCATGTTTTTGATACTGTTTAAGTTACTGCATTTTAGCAAACTATTCTCGAGACACCACACAGTGAGACACAGATTTTACTCCCCTTTTTTAACCAAGTTGTATACAGGTGCAAATAGTATTCAACACTGACATGCCTCTGATCCCACACACACATTATTTGCTATTGTATACTTAATTTTGCCAGCATTTCATGTAGTGGTTTTTCTCATATCTTGCATAATGTTTTGGTTTCAAAATGTACGTTTTTTGTTTGTTTCATAATACTCTGTAGAAAATTTGTCTCTGCTACTTGTGGTCTGCATAAAGATCATTATATAATTTATTAAGTGTAGCAGTTCTTAAAATCAGATTGTGTTTGTATAATATAAAGTTCTAGATAGATATAGTGACAGAATTTTACTTTTAATATTGTGGTCTCTGATGTAATATGTGATGAACAAATGAACTTCAGTAAAAGTATTTTGGGTGTATCAGATGGTAACAATTTGCTTTAGATAAATTTCTGTTTTTAAATAATTTTTGTGTTTGTTTCTCTGTTTAGCAAGCATGTGGATATGAGTTTACTAATAAACTGCACCGAATGTTTACTGACATGTCAGTGTCTTCTGATCTCAACAATAAGTTCAACAACTTTCTGAAATTGGACAATATAGATCTAGGAATCAGTTTCTGCATATATATCCTCCAGGTATGCATTTTAGCAGTACATGACAGTTTCCTAATATTTATACATTTGCACATTGCTTAAAATACCTGAGAAGTTCTGTATCTCTCAAGCATGACAATCATTAAATCTGTTTGATGATTTTAAAAGTAGAATTTAAGCAAATTCATAAGTGCTGGGCTTCTGAAAAATCTTCTTGTTCAGAAATCCATGTGCTTACTAGTTTGCAAAATGTGTTTTATTATAACAGACCTATTTCCCACATGGCTTCAGTTTGGTATGTGCCTCCCTTCTGACCATACAAACTACTATGTGCATTCTTTAAATAAAAAATAACATGGTCCTCTCTGGTATGTTTTGATAACATTTTTGCTGCTTGCCTTGCAGCATGTCTAATGATGTTCAGAATAATTTATTGTGATAGTTTTGTCTTTTACATAGAGAACTGTTGGCTGTCATAATTCTCAGAAATATGAATCAACTTTTGTATCCTTTAAATTTCCTATTTAACATATTAAGATAATTATTTGTGATGACGCCTAACATAACTCCTGACATGTATCAAGAAATAAATTAGCTGCAGGCTTTAAA